AACACCTTCCACTTCGATTTGAAAACAACAACGAGAAAGGCTAGGGTGAAACATACATGATTGACTACGGCCATCCTCACTAGATACTGAGTATTTACATCGAGCCCAGTGACTGTATACTCTCTTTCGCTAGCATCCAAAACAAACGTGTTCCCTTTGCTCCCGCGTACCCTAGTCTTGTATTTCAGTCTAAATCTTGCATAGATTACACTGAAGGTCGATTTGTTCGTGAATGTACTCACCGGTATCCGGTGACTTCCCCATTCGTGCTCTCAGGATCTGGTTCGCTCCAGGTGATTCTGATGCTTGTACTCGACACAGTTTCAGCCACAATATCGCGAGGGGGTGAAGATGGTACGTCAGACAACGTGCGGACCTTAATACAGTATATTATTCGAACAAGTATAATGAGCAGCAAGTAATCTAAAATGTATTCAATCTATATAAGTTCGATAACTACTTCTTGAGATAAGACAAAAGAATCAAATCCAAAAGCAAAATGATATGAGGTTTCGAAACAATCATTACAGGAACTTTCGGAGACTATTTCCGATTAAAAGTCATTGAAGATATGGTCCAAATTTGTTGGCAAGCAAATTAGAATATTCAAATTAACCGTTAGAGGCGCACTACTCAAGCCGCTCCCGTTCTCTCCTTCAGCCTCGACGCGAATCTGATACTCGGTGAACTTGTCCATGCCATGCAATGTATATGCAGTCGACGAGATCTGTAGTGGCAATGCATAAAAACTGCTGATAAAATAGGCTAGGAGAATCACGTACAATTGTTTGAGTCTCTTTATCGTCTGGTTCAGGTGGATTCCTGATGTAGAATAGTTTGTAGCGTAATGGAGTTGGACCACCTTGTGGAGGATCCCATTTAACCTCTATTGTTTCGGGTCCAAGAGCTCGTGCGACCAAGTTAGAGACACGACCAGGTACTGCTTCTGGAAAATGTAGTTCCACTGATACTTTGTGAATGGTATCGCTTTACAAAATATATTAGGTTGGCCAGAAAATAATTTCGGTTTGAGCAAGCGCGGCACTAATTTTCCGCATTTGCTTCTCCCCAAAAGCTTGCAGGTGTTTTTCATAGTGGCATGTGTGCAGTCAAATTTACTAGCCAGCTCTCGTGTCGTTAGAGTTTGATTCGTCACGACTATCTCCCTTAATTCACGATCATCGCAAAAAACGTCTTCTAAGGTCTCGTCTCCATTTCGAAAACG